ATTATTTGTCAGCCAAAATCACATAACTCTACAAATTACCATTTTAATGTAGTCAAAGTACAAGATTAACAGCTAACCAGGTTCCTTCAAAAGGTCTTCCATCCATTTTTAGTTCATTAGCAAACATATAGATCAAATGAATCACACTCCAAGCAAACAACAAAACTGGACGCTTGCTCCATTTAACACTGAAACCCAATATCAAACATTACACAAACAGCAAGAAACGGAGAAGCAGCAATCAAGGAAACATCAAAACAGACTTGTCCTATGCTTTACACCATTTTTCTGGATTTGCCTATTCAAATACACAAAGACTGACCATAAACATCGAGCAAAAAACTCATGGATTCATCAGGTGACCACTATAGAAAACCTTAAACCCCATGTTCTTAATCAGACTCATCTCATAAGTCCCTACTGAATCAGATCTTAGCAAACGAGCAAAATAGCAGAATCATAGAACCAGCGAGAGCTTGACCCAGTAGCAAGCAAAAAGATTCACATCCGATGGCTTTATCTTTCGTAAAAACATGTTAAAATCCACCAAATAAGAGGCATTTTTACCTGAGAATGCTAGCACGGTTGAGCGGTCTTGAGATCTGCCCGAAAACGCGTGCGGGTTCCCAGAAACGCGATCGGGAACTTTTGCTGCAGAAGTTGTTGCCTCGTCGAGCAGTCCTCCTTCTCTCGCTCTCAGTTTCGAGCCTTCTTCAAGATTTTGCAGATTTCCTTTGCTTGTTCACCGATCCTTCCTTGTGTCTTCCTTAGATTTTGCTTTGTTTCTCTCCCAATTTGTAGCTTCTTTCTTTTCGTTCCTCCCTTGCCCAGTTTTTCTTCCCCGACGCTCTGATTTCTTTCCCCAGCCGATAATCCTCTCTCAATCTCCTATCTTTCTCGTTCTTTCTGGTTTTTTTTTTCTTAGTTTTCTCTCCAACTCTCTTTTTCTAAAACCTAGACTTTTCTTGCCCGTCTGTCTTTCCTCTTCGATTCTCCGCCATCGCACTCTCACCCCCTCTCTCTATAGCCTCTCTTCAGCCTTTTATACGGGAAGCTAGCTCCCGAAACCCTCATTTGGACGGTGGATAAAACTCATCATTTTTTTGCATTTTCAGAGCCCTTGATCCTTATGTCTTTCCGGAATCTTCTTGATAAATCCTGAAGAAGTGATGTGGCCTTTTATAGGCACCGAATATCCCCAGAACTTAGCATCAATGGTGCTGGTTTTTCTGCATTTCTGGTGATTATCTGGAGCCTTTGGATGGTGGATTTGGGATAAGAATTAGAGGATGATCTGTCTGTTGTACTGAGGGGCTCTAACAGAAAAGAAAAATGCGAGCGAAGGGGTGTAAATGGAATCCATATTGCCGCTGCAAATTTTCCTGTACTCGTGTGCATGTTTGTGCTTGAAATGTGATATGGAGAAAGCTTGGACCATGTGCAGCTCATGGTGCGTGAGCTTGCTCTTTTTTTTTTTTCATTTTTTTTAATTTGGATAAACAAACAACAGAACTTCATAAATCGAATCTAAGAAAATTAAAGTATATTTTTTGTAAGAAATTTTCTTTTCCGACAAGCCTTAATACTAAAAAGTCTTAAAATAAAAACTAAAAGACTAGAAATGAATAATAATTTACATTTAACCAATGAAAAATAAAAATAATAGTAAATAAAACTAAATTTAAAATTTGGTGTCTACAATCTACAATTACTGTCTCTCATCCTCAACTTTAGGTTGACTTTTGTGTTTGATTTTAACCTTAAGAGTTAGTTATACTGAAACATATTTGTGAACTTCATCATTTGATAGATGACAAATTCTTAATACATTAAATAGTTGACTTTATAAAATGTATAGAACACCACCAATATTTGCCAAATAGATAAGTGATAAGATTGACTATTACAAAACAACTTGATGCATGCATGCTAGGAATGTGGCTTCAAACCAAATACCTGAATTAGCACTTATCATTGAACAAAAATATAATCCGTTGGGATTCTCTATGCCAAATTTAGTGTCAATTCCACTTACTACGTGAGGGTAGCGAAAATTTAAATAAACAACACACTCGAGGATCCCATGTAAAATATAATTATTCTCGCCAATTTTTTGTATTGCAAGCTATGTCAATTGGCCATAATTCTCGGGCCTCCCTATAACACTACAACCAGGAATACGAGCATTTGATTTGAGAAGCTACTCATTCTGTACCATGAACCCTCTCCTTTGTGACTGTTGTGTGTGTGTATGTGTTAGAGAAGAACTACCAACATTTTATGTATTATTACTTATTAGGATCCATGACCATGGATACCATGGAAAGTTCATGGTCTGCAATTTAACTAAAAATTTTACTTTTTTTTTACCGAAATATCGGCTCTTTTGTGTATAATAACCAGGACCAGTATATGTCCAAAAACTTGCCTTTTATGATTATTACCATATTTCTATTGGTCACTTATTAAGATATATTTCAGTAATCATATTTTGAAAAATGTAAAATTAATTAGGAAAAGTAAATAAATACACAGGACATAGGTAAGATTAAATAGAAAAAGTATATAAACGCAAGAGAGAGCAATAATTATTAGTATGTGTATATACATGATAGGTTAAATGAATTTTAAGTGTATCAATAAGTGCCCAATAGATATCCGTTAGAAAAATCCAATAATAAGCGTTAATTATTATAGTTTTTGTGTTTATAGTTCAAATGACTCATCTCACCATTCCATGTATTATTTCAATTTTTGCAGGTTTGGTTCGTATTGAATTATTGACCTGTATTCCTTAAACTAGTTCATCATGTCTAGTAGAACTTTTTATTTCCATGAAGAAAAGGTCCCCTTTGACATTAATAGTTAGAAAGGTTTTCAATATACCATTTTGTGTTAGGAAGGTCTGATTGGTATTCAATTACTAATTTAACTATATATATATATATATATATCTTCCTTACAGTCCACCAAAGTCACTGTCATGAGGTTATAAGTCCTTGGACATTTAAAATTTCCCAATTTGTAATCCAGGTTTATTCTTTGCGTGGAAGTTGACCTTTATATGAGATCAGACCCTATTTGATAATCTAATCCAATAATTAAATTTAACGGATTCAAATCTTAATACGTTTAGACGCATTTAATAACAAAAAATCGAATATCTGAATTAATTAAGTGACATTGAATTTCCTAAGTGAAACTTGCTCTAAAAATTAAATGATAATATACTCATTTATTACTTAATATAATATACACTCACATGTGTCAGATTTTATCTAACATCCAAAAAATGAAAGGAAGCTAAAATTGCACTATAGAGCATAGTTATTAAACCCGGCCCGGCCCGGCGGTTCACCGGTCAACCCGGTGAACCGGCCATGAAACCGGGCCGAGTTCTTAACAAGATCGTTTCTGCATTGAACCCGTTGACTTTTCAACGGACCGGCAGTTGAACCGGTTAACTCGGTTGAACCGGCCGATTTTATGAAAAACCCGGTCTTCGAAAAAAATTTGTAAACATTGCTGGAATTGAGAATTGATCGCGCGACCTCATGCAAAGAAGAAGACAACCATTACCGTTGGACCAACCAACAATTTATTAGTTTCTTTGTTCTTATATTATATATTACAATCTTATTCTTATTTTATTTCTCCAAAACAAAATTTATTTGAAATCTTTTAATAACATTTTTATTATTCCCTGAACTCTATAAATTATGAAATTGACTTAAAAATAACATATTACACAAATCATTTTAATGGTAAATATTATTCTTAATAAACTTTTGCACTTAAAATTCATAAATAAACTAGATAATTATACTTAGATAAAATTTTATACTTGATATTTGGTGGATTACTAATTAAATTTAGGTTGTTAATTCTTATAAAAATTAATGAATCTATAATAAATTAAACTAACTGAATATTTATTATGGCATAAAAATTATAAAACATAATATTTAAATATATGTAGTGACCCACCGGTTGGACCACTCATCCACCGGTTGAACCAGTAACCCGTTGACCCACCTCCTTCACCGAGTTCCTCCCCGGGCCGGGTTTAATAACTATGCTATAGAGCACTCAAAATACGTGCAAGTATAGAGCAAAACATGACACTTTGCATTGGTTACACACTAGAAGGAGATGCTATCTTAGTAATTCGGCTAATTTGGAGTAGCAGACATGAAAATCCTTCATGCAAGTGGCCTAATATTTAAGGATTTGCGTGCTGTGTTAAGGAGTAATGTTGATGTCAATCAAGTTTCTTAAGATGCAAACAAAGTTGCGCATTAATTGGCACATTAGATGCAAATATAGTTGTGTATTAATTGGGACATTATGCTAAAACAGCCAATTCTATTGACTCTCTATGGCATTCACCCCCAAACTTTGTTTGTCAATTCGTGCTGATAGTAATTTTTTTTTTCACTTATGGGCATCGTAGCTTTTTGGCCAAACTAATCCCTTAAGATTATATATAGAGTCTTGACCAGAAATATACTGCAAAGTAGCACATAGGGTTCAATTACGGGATCTACTGATTACTACCAGGCTACGGAACTGATCGCACTACCCGCAGGGGGTAATAAATCTAGCAATAAAGGTTTGGTTTTTCTAATGGGTGACTAAAGGTACTCATTAACATATCTAATATTCATCTAACCTATCATATATATGAACATGCTAATAATTATTATTCTCTTTTGTATTTATATACTTTTCCTATCTTATTTAATTTTACCCTTCTTCCCTTGTATTTATTTGCTTTTTCTAATTAAACTTATATTTTTATAAATATAAGATCTAAAAGATATTTTAATGAGTGCTCTATGAGCACCCGATATTAGACAAATCGATAAAAATTTTCTTTCTATAAATAAATAAATAAATATAAGTAGCCCATTTAACCATACTACGGCACATTTATACTTTTTAGAAACTAAAACACAGGCCCAAGCCTGCGTCCTATATGCAGAAAGCCCAAAATTGATGTGTCACTGACGAAATATACATACAGTATTGCTTCACTGAAACGTCTTCTTCCCTTTTGCCTTTTCAGTGCATAGGGTTTTAGCATTTTGAGCTATCATTCTCTCTCGCTCACTGCGTGTTTTTTAGTGTGTGTAGTGTGTGTCCTTTTTCTTTTCTTTCTTGAATTATTGAATTTTTATTATCAAAATGACTAAATTCCGAAAGCTTAATCGACCAACTGGTCATCGAATGTCCATGCTCAGGTTTGAGCTTTCATGCTCTTGTTTACAATTAGATTCTTTTTTTGATTTGTATTGTAAAACGATTTATTGTATTTTTTATTTTGTTGTTGATTATGGGCAGAACCATGGTGTCCCAATTGGTAAAGCATGAGCGTATTGAAACCACTGTCGCAAAGGTAGGAATTTTTCTCCTTTTTATTTATTTTCTGTCTTCCAATTTTAGGCCCCATTTTTTTATTCCATTTCGTTATGGGTGTTTTTTTTCCCCCTTTTCTGAGGTTATATTTCTGATAGGTTTTGTCGAAAATGGTTGTTTGTTATTTAACAAAATTAATTGTATAAATGATTGATCAAAATGTGCATTTTCTTGGTGTTGATTACGCTTAGCCTAAGATGGATTGAGAGTAGATGTTTTCTTGGAACTGTTTATGTGGGGTCTTTTTAATTAAATTTATCTCAGAATCTGGATTAGCGTTGTCATATTCAAGAAAATGATGTTATGTTAAAAATTCCAAGCAAATGCAAGCCTTTTTCAGAAAGATTATGATTATTTTTTTGTATTTTTCAGAACTGGAGTATTGTTATTAGGTTTCAGTAACTTGAATATGTGATTTATTTAAAAGATTGTAGCAGACCTCAGATACTGAATTGGGATTAATGTAGTTGGCTGGGTAGTTTTGCAGAACTGCTAGACATTGTTGTGTGCTAAATTTCTTTTAATTTGATTGAATTACAGGCTAAGGAAGTTCGGAGGCTTGCTGACAACATGGTGCAGCTCGGAAAAGAGGTGGGCTTATTTGTTATTTTTTTAATGTAAAATTTTGTAACTATAAGTACAGTAAGGTAATATCTCGAGTAGGCCGATCATTGACAGTTGCTTTCTGGATGAATTTGGCTCATGATGATTCAGAAGTAAAGTGAATTGCTCTCACTTGATTAAATGCAATTTTTATGATGATTTTAGAGTATGAGAAAGTTTAGAATAAAGGAAAATGAAGATGGAGATGGGCAGTAGTATAATAAATGCTACTCTTTTGTAATGGGTCATTTATTGTATTCTTGATTGCTAATGTTATCTGTTGCCATAGTTCAATTTGTATCATGGTGCTATATTCCACTCTGTGTTCCAATTTCTTCATCTTTTGCCTTGTCATTTTGAAATGTGGATTTTCTATTGTGGGTTATCATCAACCCTTCTCTAAGATAACTTAGTATTCTTTTCTTGATTTTACTTTTGCTTCACTCTTTACAATATTAATACGTTTGAAAGATTTTTATATTTTTGATCAGGTTTGTCTGAAAGTTGTTTTTTTATTTATGTATTTCTTTGAAAAATATACTCCAGGTCTTTTACTTTTTTTTTTAGTACCAGAAGTATCCTGGCTGCTCTCTGTAAATTAAATTGTAAATATGGTTATAGGTGGTATTTTCCTGTCATACTCATGTACTGTGGATGAATTCCTGAAGGTACTGTTCGACCCTCTTGTAGCATGTTACCTTCTTTACAATGAGAATTACCAAATGAGATCCTGGGATCTATGCTCTTCCTTGGTGATTACATTAAAGGTCAAGTGAGCATGCTATGGCCTGATTAGGAACGCATATTGAAATGAGTGTACTAGTCTCTTGTTGATGCTCCTTGCTTTGTGTTTGTGCAAGTGAAAGTAACAGTTATGCTATTTTTCAATGCTAGATAGTCCAAAAGGTTTTTTGGAAAACTCTTGCTTTAGGTTCTTGATTGGATTTAGTTACATAGACAAATAAAGTTCAGCAGTGTTAAGAGTGAGCAAAGGAAAAGATTATTATGCAATTGATGGCCTGGATAGTGCAGGCAATTTGGAGAAAAAGGGATTATTGAATATTCTACAACTGAATCATGCTTGTACTGCTGCTTTGTGCTCCCGTTTCCCTTCTCTTCTCTTTCAGCTTTGGCTTTCTAGGTTTAGATGGACATTGTCTTGGTGAATAAGCAATGTGATATCAATTTGGAAGGGGCCAAATCCACACCCTAAGTGCCAACAGGACAGTAAAGCCTGTAGCATTTAATATTGTAACTTTCTAGAATCTGAAGTTATCCTTTCACACAATAATAACAAACTGCCTTCATAACACTCTTCTTTCAGCTATCTCCTACCATTCTTTTAAAGACATTCTATGTTTTTTCCTAATACTGACACTGCATAAAGCATTTGCTGTAAATTTATCAGAGTGAGAAAGTTTTTTCTCATGAATTAACGACACAAATTTCATCCTTAATGCTTGAAAACAAAGAAGGATCAATTATAGATCCGTGACAATTTGTGTCGTACATGCAGGGAAATTTACTGATATCAAATAAATATTAGAAATTAGGAGACCGTATAACTGGAAAACATTTGCATGATTATAGATTGGAATTAAAAGTTAAAATAATTGGACAATGCAAATTATTATTATTTTACGAAAGCATAAATTTATAGTTGCAAAAAGGTGCGAAGGAAACCATTAACTGTTGAGGGCTTCAAGGTCCTATTGGTATTTAGGGTGTGGATATAGGATGATAGGGTGTGTATTGAGTCCCTCTCTATCAATTTTCTGTTCAATTTACTCCAGACTCCTGTTATTCTATTTTTCTTGTCTTTTGAAACAACTTTGAAAACCTTTGGATTTGACTGAATTGGCTGTTTTTCATCTAGTTGAAGTTCATGAAATAGTGTGCCCAAAGAAGTCTTTGTCCGTGCCCTCATTTGAAGCCCACCTTACTGTTAACTGCAAGTTTCACAGAAGCAAATGAGATATGGAAGTGTAGTCCCTTGAAAATGGTCCTCAATCTGTCTGTTGAATTTTGGTGCTGCATGAAATTTCAGTTTGACCGCATGAAATTTCAGTTTGACCTCGCAATTTGTAAATTTTGTTGGTTTTTCAGAAAATAGTTGAAAATTGATCTTAACTACTGTTGTTTATGTTTGGAATAAACTAAGGTAGTATATTTTTGGCTGGAACTATTCTTGCTTTTTTTATTTGCTTACTTTAAAAGGGGAGTTGAAGCTCTAAGGTACCATGTGATGGTTGATGAAATATACTATTCCATTTTCTGTTTCCATGGCAATTTCATATTTAAATTGGAAAAGATCTTGTAGGATATTGTGTTTCCTGTGGGCCAGTTTTCTGCCCAGAGTGCTTGTGACTTGCTTAAGCACATATGTCTAACACAAATGACTAAATCAGCTATTAAATTAATTTATGGCATTTTTCCACTTTAATTTGACCAATGGATATGCTTCTCTGCCTGCCTGGCCCTTGGGAACCTTGCCACCCTCATGTTACTTGTAGTTTCATTATTTGAGTAATTATTTTTGTATACTCTCAGGTGGTGAAGAAATCAACTTGTTTCATCAGCCAGATGTGTGCTCTATAGTTGCTTATATAGAAATTTGAACCATCATGTACCAACATTATTCACTGCAAATCTTTCAAAGAATCATGATCTAGTCTGAAAAATTTCATTGTTATTTACATAATACTACTATTAACTTGAGAAGTTCTCAATTATAAACAGTATCTGGCTACAGGATTTAGTTGCAACAAATTTCTGGGTTAACATGCAGAAATTCATTGTTATTATGCACAAAATTGGAATCAGTATAGACCAACACCATCAGCTGTCCTATTTGACTGCAAATATTTTATGTTGTACTACTCTCAAACTTGACAGTGCATTTTTTTTTAAAAAAGTATCTGACTATAGGATTGGGGTTTTCAAAATTGCCTCAATCTTCTGGGTTATTTTATTTGTTACACAGTCCGTTTTCCTGGTGGTTCAGATATTGCAGCATTGCGTGCTACAGAAAGGATGAAACCCTTGATCTCATTGGTCTTTTCAAAAGATGATGACCTTGGGGAGTTCAAGCATCCAATTTTATAGTTTTTTGGCATTATGCCTAAAAATCTCGGCAACTATGGATGAAAAGAACAATACATGGCCTATTATGCTTTATTTATATGATAACTGCAATTAAATGAACTTCATTGGCATGTGAAATAATCTATAAATTGCTTTTTTCTAACTGGAAATTTTACTGATTGCGTGCAGTGGGCTTAAAACTTAAGATTCTGTGCCGAGTGTCTGCTTCAACTCTGGAATCTGTTGACTGTGCTTTCTTTGGATGATCATATAATCACTATTAATGGCAATTTGGATGATCGGGAATATTTGCTTATTAAAGACCTAAAATCAATGTCATTGTTAAAGGCTCATTTGGTTTATGGCATGTCACAGGATTGGAAATTGATTCTGTCGCATCCCATTTTTATTCAGTTTAAGTGACAGGATTAGTGATCCAATTAAGATAAGGTTATTTCATATTTGGGACAAAATCATCAAAATTGGGCATGGGGTTCAAGGTAGTAACCCCTAGTTGGCAGTTTGGTTGGAAGATAATTTGTACCCTTCTTTGATCGTATTTCGGTACCTGAGTATGCAATCCTACATTTACATAGTTGATATTGAACTTTTGCTAGGATATCTGGTCAATAATTGTGTACTGAACAAATAGAAATCTTGGGATGAGTCATTGCGGGTAAACTGTTTCCTGAATGATTCGTCCCCTGTAATCCAGCCCACCAATCAGATGAGCCATAACTGGATGTAAAATGACTACTATTGATTGCTTCCATTATCAAGTGAATTGAATCTATTATTATATTATTGCAAACCAATCGTCATTGTATGTTGGGAGTCTCGTTGCTTTTAGTATTAGAGCTGTATACATATGTCTTTACCTTGTATTTCAACTCCCTTTCTGAATATTTTCAGGGTACCCTTTGTGCTGCAAGGCGTGCTGCTGCCTTTGTTCGGGGAGACGATGTTATTCACAAACTTTTTACGGAATTGGCTTACCGATACAAGTAATGTTTTAACCTGATGCGTTACAAAATGTTGTTGCACGTTTCTGGTTGTAATAGTTGACGGACATGTCTGTATAACAGGGAGAGAGCTGGTGGGTACACTAGAGTGCTTCGTACTCGAATCAGAGTTGGTGATGCCGCTCCAATGGCGTACATTGAGTTAGTTTACCAAATCTTTTGCCTCTAGCTGCAATTAATTGATGATTAGGTTGTCAGATTCTTCTGCAATGGTAACTGAATGCTCCTTTTATGGGACAAAAAAAGAAACACAAGATATTAATCACACATACCTGTTCGCACAGTTTTGTAGCTTTCAGAAATCCTAGGATACAATTTTCTGTCAAAATTTTGCAATTATCTGACAGTTCATCAAAATTTTGTTTTCATAAATTGAGATTCAGGTGCTAAGTTGTGTCTCAGGTGAAAAGAAATTTCCTTTAATGTGACCTTTTCATTATCAGAAGTTAAACAAAAGAAGGAAGGGTGTTCTTTGATATGCAAATCAGATACCCGCATAGCCTTCTTGGATGATGAATCTCTCTCTTACACGCTCAAACATGCACACACAAATTTAATGATGGTATTAACAATGTTTCTTTTGGCAAATTTTGCAAGTGGTCAACCAGGATCTGTGGAATTACCTTCCAGATCTCGTCAAACAATTTTGTGCCGGACGATCTTCCAGTTATTTGGTCAATAGAACTTATATCTGATAAACAAAAAGTAAAAATTTCTTTTCATCTTGCAGGTTTGTAGACAGAGAAAATGAACTTAGGCAGGCAAAACCTCCAACTCCCCAACCACCACAGAGGGCACCATTGGATCCCTGGACTAAATCACGACTCAGCAGGCAATTTGCTCCTCCTAAAGAAGACAAAAGCTCAGAGTCCGACAGTTGAGATATATGTGCATGAACATTAGCATGAAGTTTATTTTGGCCTTTTGGTCTGAATTTCAAGATAATCCCCCTCTTCAACCACAAGTTTTGATAGCTAGGCAAATGCTTGGAGCTTTACTTCAAGCATAATGTATTCATGTGCTACTAGAATCTTTCGCAACTGATGTGCTGTCAACTTCAAAGAACAGTTTTCTGCACCAATGTAAAAATTGTGCATCAACCATGATTTTGGGAGGAAAGCAAGACTGCAAGAGCTGCCCTTTTGGCAATATCTACTTCAATTACGAATATTTGATAGCTTGATCTTTGATACAGTTGATGCAACTGAGGATTTTTTTTCTTCTTGTGGATAAAAATATCATGCGAGTTGGGAATGTTATTGTTAGATAGTCCCAAGCTTGAGCCTAGAGTTCCCAGTTCTGGGAATCAGGATAATTTTTTTTGCGGATTGCAAGGAATATTAAGGATCGATACACACTTGTTCTTCATGTATTTTAAGTAAAATGGTCTTTTTCATCATCACAATTCATTGAATTGAGTTGTCATTTTTTCCAGCTTTGCTAACAATGATTACGGTTGGCTACCAACTTTGCAACTAAACCCCCTTACCTGCCATTTAATAATATATAAATATAATAAGAAGACATCCCAGCCTAAATCTGTTGGCCATTGGAACTACTGATGGACAAAATTCTTTAAAAAGATGTAAATGATAGACAAAATTCTTTATCAAAAGTAATCTTATTTCTCTTCGACCAGGTCAACTTAAACCAGGGCTTGCAAAATTGGCCTCCCAGATTAAGCAACAACAGGGGGCTGAGAAGGGTTTCCTTTCTACCAGATTGAAACGATCAATCTTGAATACGATCTTTTTGTTTTAACTTTTACCTGAATTGGTCTTGAAGTCTACTTCTGTCAAGGAACTACTTATATAACAAGTCAAAGCATACATTCCTGTTATTGCTTTTCCATTGAGATAATAAAAGCCAGTTTGGATTGCTATTTTCTAGATTTTTTATAGAAAAATATACTGTAACGATTTGATATATATGAGATAAAAAAGTGATTGAAAAATGATTTCATAAAAAATGTAAAAATTTTTGGAAAAAAAATGGCAATCCAAACAAGGATACATGTCCCATTAATGCATCTATCTTATTATGTAGCAAGATATCATGAGTGACACCAAAGAAAAATAGATGTCTGGGGGATCCAATTATGCAGAACAAGCATTGCAGAGTACAATTTCAATATGAATTACTGATGAAGCTGTATTTTTTTTTTGGGAGGAATGGGTTAGATGGTATCGCTATCAGGAGAGAAAGTTAAAAAAAAAAATAGCTGTATTTTTATCAAACAGAATCTAAGTGATTAGCAAGACGATAAACAAACACTCTACGCTGCAACAAGTATTAAAAGAATTTGGGAAGTAACCTTTTTGGCAGTAAAATTTGATGCTATTCTAGTATACATAACAACTTCTAGTTTACCTGCACCAAATAGTATGATTTTTTAACATTTATTTTCTTGTTAATTTTCTCTTTTTTTTTGGGGTGGATCAAATTTCAATTGGTCCTAAAATTTGATATGATATTGAAATCCTGGGATTGAAAGTTCAATTCAATTTCTGAATGCACTATGGCAATATAATAGATTTGGACACAGACCAAAAAACTTTTGCCAAAGCAGCCAGCATGCTTGAGGGTTTGCTTTGCTTTGAATACAAAGTACATACGGTGTCATGTCTCTATACTTTCTCAAACCTTATCTTGCTTTCCCTTTCTTAGTAATCTTTTTACATGCAATGATTAGAATATGGAAAGTTTCATAGTATTCGCATACGTTTTCAGTCCACCTTCTAGGTGCACATTTTTTAAAATTAAAGAAAATCGAATATAATATATTTATCAATTCTGTTTTCTTCCCCACTTTATTCATTTTTTAAAAAGAATTAATTATGAGAAAACACTTTGTGTTAAACTTTTATAGCAAGCGGGTTCTCTCTTAAACTTCTTTTTCTTTTTTTTTTTTTTCCCTGTTTTACCTCTCTTAATATTTAATACACTAGAGAAAAGTTGTTTATTTTACTATTCTTTTTTTTTTTTGAAAGAAAGTGGTTTATTTTACTATGAAAGGCAAACGTACCGCTTATATTTTATGAAATCTTTTCAGTTACATCTTTATATAAAAGTTAGACTCAGCACTTCAACTCTTTTTATGAAAAGAGTAAAATCAGTCTTCTTGAATAACATAATATGGCTCTTTTGGATTTGCAATTACGTCTTTTTAGTTCGTGGAATCTACAGTAATAAACTCCAAAAACACACAATCTCAATTGCACTAAAATAAAACAAAATAAAATAAATCCTAAAATTTTTTCACCTTCCACATGCAATCACGGCCACCACCGTTGGCAGCTACCCTCCCCTCATATCAAATTTTAGGACCAATTGAAATTTGACCCACCCCAAAAAAAAAAAAGAGAAAATTAACAAGAAAATAAATGTTAAAAAATCATACTATTTGGTGCAGGTAAACTAGAAGTTGTTTATGTATCTTAGAATAGCATCATATTTTACTGCCAAAAAGGTTACTTCCCAAATTCTTTTAATACTTGTTGCAGCAAAAAAAAAAGAGGGGAGGGTTGCTGCTGGCGGTGGTTGGCGATAGGAAAATTTTAATGAATTTATAAAAAATATCTAAAAAATTTTAAATTCTAAAAACATCCTAAAATACAACTTCAAAAATACCAAATCCAAATGAACCATCTATAGGAAAAATTTTTCACATACACCGCTACAATAAAGATTTTGAAAAACACTTCTAAAAATACCTAATGCATGCAGAGCCATATACATTACAAATATTATTGCTTTCCCAACTCCTCAGAAAGCTTCCCAAAAAAAAAAAAAAAAAAAAAAATCCTGGATCAACACTAATTGTCACTAAAAGAAACTTCGTTCTGGATCATTTTTTTTGGAAAAATCTCACTCTGCCAAAAGAGGCCGGATCAGATGGTAAGACTCGTTCACCTTACATAAGGTAAAAAATATAACTGAAGACGTTGCAAAAATTTTTCTGGCCTGGCTTGACATTTTATTACAAACGTACCCTATTGTGAAAACACGCTTTTTTTCTGGCCTGGCTGACATTTTTTCACAAACATATTATACTATTTGTGAAAACAAAGTATGGAGAAATGCATGGACTGGTCTAAACAAAGAGAAACACAGAGACGTAGCGATAGGTGCAAGGCTTGGCTCATCAGGGAATGTCCCACATTTTAATGTCCCAAACAAGCATGCTCTTGTGCAGAGACAAGTGTTTCTGTATGCCCTTTTTTTGGTTTCGAATCAAGAATGCTTATTGGTCGGTTGAGACAGAAGGCTTGGAACAGCTTAATATAACTGGTAATTGTCATGATGGAGTTGTTAATACGTTATTATTGGCTTTGATTAGGACAATCGTTATCCAAAACTTGGGTTTTGCCTTTAATTAACTTCTTGATTAAAGAGTCACCAATCTGTGACATTGTAGTTCTACTAAATAGAGTAATGTAATTGTGGATTCAACAATCTGCCTGTCCAAACCTGTATGAAGTGAACCACACCTCTATCCAGTCTTTTTACATAAAAATGCAATTTACCAAAAGAAAAAAAAATAATAGCAACATAAGATTCTCTTAATTTCCTTAGGCTTTTTTTTCTTTTAATTTTCTTATTTTTTAGGTTTCCTATGTATTTATTGTATCTTGAGGAATATAAAGAACAATGACCTAACGTTCTGCAATCACTTGTTAGTATAGTCAGCAAGCTTATTGTGCTAGAAGCAGATCATTTGCTTTTTACCAATTAATAGTGAAATCATCCTAACTTTTCTTATTTATTATGTTCTTTGTTTTGGGTATTTTTGCACAAGCAGGAGATTTGTACATGAAACCATATTTCTGCTTTAGGTTTGGGACTATCCACTGTTTTTAGAAGACCTTTTTTTTCCCTGAAAAAAAGTGTAAAAAACTTGAAAGAAAGTAGAAAAGAAAAAAAAAAGAAAGAAAAAGATGTACAATAATCTTTAACCAAATTTACTTTATACACATTATACTGTTGATCTACCAAAGCTGAGCGCCCTAATCTAATTGTGTGTGTGTGTTTCTTCTGTCTATGGAAAAAATACCAAAGCTGAGGTACTTCTTGCCCCAATTATATCGTTGAGTACCTCAGTTAGAAATTGTTATCAATTTGACTGATTGATATTTGAAGCCAATTCTTGAACTAAAATTGCACAATCGAATGAAAATTCTTGAAGGATGATTCGGATATAAATAAAGTAGAATCCCTGTTCAAGACAAGCATGCTTCTCTAATGTACAAATGTTGCCAATGTATAGGGGTATAGTATACAAATTAATAAAACTTAAAACTAAAATTTAGTAATTGAATTATCAGATTGAATTTTAAATTTTAAAGTGTCAAAATCCTAATATTTTGTATATGCAAACTTAAATGAATTTAAAACTCTTGTGAAAAGCTGAAACAGAAAATTCCAAATTGGCAAATTCAGCATGGCAAAACAAAAGGAGTTTTTGGTAGGGCTATGCAAAAGGGAAAGAAACAAAACAAGATAAGGTTTACTTTAATTACTTTATCAGGAAAGGTTACTTCATCTTATCACCACATAACAGCAGAAAAAGATTCATTAGATTTTGACTTATAATTGGGCAGGCATAATTGCAAATAGCCAGATCAAATGATGTAAATGGACAACTAAATTGGTTGATAATCATATATCTCCAAGAAAAGGAATTAAATAGTTTTACCATTAAAACCAATAGTAAGAGTAATTAGCAAACAATCATTCTGATTTAACAATATTACCATACAAATGGAGGGATTGCTGGCCATCAAGAAGAAGGATGATTAGAATTCCCATATGCGAGTTAGTAAGATATGACTTAGTAATCATCATTTCACATCCATATACATCATCAACTAAACCTGTTATTTTCATTAACCTAATCCAGCTACCACAGTTGCAAATTCTGATGACAGCACAAATGAAATTTGAATGTTTCTAGAAGTAAACACAAACAATTTTACACACAATTCTCAACTACTTAATTGCATGTTTCGTGTTCTTACAAATAAACGAAAACGAAAAGAGGCAAATTATGAAAAAAAAACACACACACAATGTAGTATCTCTTGTCATAACTGGGCTATGGCATATAGACATAATGATGAACCCCAAAACCAAAAGTATGAAAAAGACATATATTATGCTTTTTTTTTGGGGGTTGTTGAAAGATGACTTGTACTTGTGTGGTACTTTTACTCCATCTAACTGCTAATTGGTAAATCTTCTTACAATTCCAAAAAATGCAAAGAAAACAATTTGAAGAGGTTATCTAGGCGTCTCATATATTGTTTTCTTGTCTTGCACTTCTTAACTCTTTGGGAAACTATGAGATAGTTGTCAATGTCACTTTTCACATATTCACAGACACTCAATTCTATTTATAAAATTATT